GCTGGCGACATGATCAGCAGTGTATGACACTTATATATGGTCAAGTGTGAGAAACAGACGCCGTGGCCATTATCACGCGTTTACCAATCCCAGCTTTATAGGGGGCGCTACTCGCTATTCGATTCTTCTGCTGTAGGAACCACTTGGAGCGTTTCAATAAAATATAATGCTAAATAAATACGAAATCTATTTACTACCAAAGTCTTAATGCTTCTCTACTCTCTTTCACATATTATTGCCGACAATTTCCTGTAAATGCCGTCCAAATGCTCATATGCAACAACGCTGGCTGCCGCACGCTAGCTGCTGCACACTGACACATAAATATATAGTGTCATTTAAAAAAAAAATTGCGTCACATTTATGTTCTTATATATATGTTTATGTGTCAGTGTGCAGCAGCTAGCGTGCGGCAGCCAGCGTGTGTTTCAGATGAGCATTTGGACGGCATTTACAGGAAATAGTCGGCAATAATAGGTGAAAGAGAGTAGAGAAACATTAAGACTTTGGTAGTAAATAGATTTCGTATTTATTTAGCATTAGCCATTATATTTTATTGAAACGCTCCAAGTGCCTGTGGTATGAACGGCTTTGTCACTCACTGTGTGATTCTTACTTCTGCGCCACCGTTAGCTGAGCAGCTGACAGGGATTCTGGGTCTCTCTCTCTCTCTCTCTCTCTCTCTCTCTCTCTCTCTCTCTCTCTCTCTCTCTCCCTTCTCTCCTCTCTCTCTCTCTCCCTTCTCTCCTCTCTCTCTCCCCCTTTCTCTATACAGTGCGTCTTAGTGTACATGGCCGCGTCGGTTCATCTAACATGACACGACTCACGCTCAGTAAGGAAGCCCTGCTGGGCTGACTGGCGGCAGACTTCTCTAATTAAATCGTATCTCAACTGCACATAAATGCACGCTTAGCATAGGTGTTGTGGGGAGGATGAAAGGAGGTTGCCAGGGAGGTGCAAGATGGCTGAAATGATGCTGCGAGGAATATGGAACGAGATTGCAAGGATGCTGCAGGAAAGATAGAAAACAGTTACAATGACGCTACAAGGAAAACAGAAAGAGGTTGCAATAGATCTTGCAAGAAAGATGGAAAGAGATCGCAATTGTTGCTGCAATGGGATACCGAATGACAGCGATCAATCTCTTAAACACTCATCTATTTTCGGTGACTGATCTTAATCGGTGTCGTTTCAACGGGAGACGTAAGAGAGCCGGCGAAACGGACGGGTTTCCATGCTTGCAGCGGGTCTGTAGAGTGATGACGTACTTTGCTTGTCAGTCATGTACTTCCCGCATCTCTCCTGTGTGGCATTCATCACCGCGAGCCGCAATAGACGCGTCCTATCTCTCGATCTTCTGCTTCGGCGCAATTGCGCAATGGCGAAGTTGTTATTCGGTTGCGCGCACTGCTTTTTATGTTAGTGTTAGTATGGGCACTCGATACCCCCTGTGTGTTATACTGTGATCGTGAATGGATAGTTTCTGACGTAATGTAAATTACGATTCAAAAAGATTAACATCGCAATTAGTGGTTTTCGTCAAATCGTCCGAGAAAATCTGCATAATTTATTAAGCAATCAACAGCTTTCATCGACCCATACACGCATCACACATACTACATCGTTTGCTCTAGAACCCGTAATGTTAATGGACTCTTGGAGTATTGCAGATTATTACCAGAGGTTATTCCCAGTGCGATAGTTTACACTCGTGCGTGCTAGGAAGGTGAAGAACAGATGAGAATTCGAAGATATAATATTTTGCTAGGAGCAATGTATTTTTTGTGACAAACTGAAACACGAGCGAGCAGATACAAAAGAATACGTGAGTGGTCCAACGCACGCGGCGCCTTCACGCACTGGCCGGCCGTTCCCAGCGTTTAGTTCTCCTGGACACAAATTGAGCAAATTAAATCCCGTGACGTCAGCGATCCTTGATTACCCGATTATAGACACAAGGCACGGTCCGCAGTGCGTGCAAACGACTCGGGATGACGTACGGTCAGGTCCGGTGCTACAAGCCGCTACAAGCTATCACCTAATTGCTATTACATCTCAGAATTGCCTTGCTACTCGATGACATTATCGTCTCCCTTGGTACCCTCACGTCTGAAACTGTTCGTTTCTATGTTATTTCTTAATTTTTAATGCCTTCCGTGTAAGGGCAAGCTGTCGAATTTTTTCGCCATCTTATGTAGATTTAGCGTGGCGCGAACACCGCAGCTATGCGCGCGACCCCGTTTTGCAAATATTTCGGCGATGAAAAATTGATGCAGCTCATAACCTAACCCCTCGCGTGGAATTGGGCGAAATTATTTCATCAGTCGTAGAGTGGAAGCATATTTCCTTTGGGGTATTATGCGTAGAGGATATTTCCTTAGCTATTCAATCTTTCGACGTACAGCCTGAATTCGGTAGATACATTGAGCAGACGAGATGCTGATCTGGCTAGCTTTCGCGATGCACGGCTAGATTGATTTTCGGCTTCGATATGTATGCTGCGTGTGTGGCCGTCCTTATACCTACTCAGTATGCGATCAGGGTGCGCTCGCCTTGGTCATTCAGTCTCGCTTCCGCTTGCTCCTGCAAAATCGAAAACAGACTAATCTATGTTGAAAAGAGAGTGGGGACGTGTTGGGAGGATAGTATCAAGAGCGTATAAAGAATATTATAAGCGTAATAAGCGTATAAAGCGTAATAAGCGTAATAAGCATATAAATATTGATAGAATTATGCACCGTACTGTGCATAGTGTGTCGAAGCAGGCGGCTTCATGTGATGAAGATGTATTTAGAAAATCCCAAGATCGTGTGCGTTCCATTAAAGACTTTGGCACGATTCCAGCAGTGGTATATATATATATATATATATATATATATATATATATATATATATATATATATAGTAGTAGTAT